AGCATATGATATTAGGTACGCATCCTGCGCACACCTCCTCACCAATTGCCACCCATCAGTGTAACCTGGAGGGCAGCCCAAAAGTCTCTACTTAATAGAATAAAAACAGAAATATTGAACGTGGCATGAATATTGAAGGCACTCTATGCTTTTTCGAGGACCTCTTTCCAGTTTGACATAGTGAATGGTGAAAGCACATAACACAAAACGAAAGAAAATGCTGTGACGAGAAATTCTAAACTCTGCTCAAAACTAAATCCTTCCAGCTATTTTATTATCTTCACAGCAGAAGAATGTACAAGAAATAAAAACGATGACGAAACCACAAACAGCCAAGCAAACAGCCGATGACATAGTCATTCGCTCTGCAGATTTAAGCTGACACATTTCCTAGCAGAAAAACTATGGAGTTATAAGATAGAAAATCCAGTGAGAAAATTTTTATAGATAATCGAACTTTAAAAATGCTGCAAATCGTGCGATTTCTCCGAAGAATTCTCAAGCACTAGCAGGCAAAATAGGTTTTCACATCAAATGCATAAAATTAGAGCACAAAGGCAATTCAATTCCGACAACCCAATTCCCATTTATACAACATCAAAGAACCGCATTTAAGTCAGAAACATTGCGACCCATAACATTAATTAGCTGCTCCTGCGAAATGTAATTGAAATGCTTCAACTATGGCTTCATAAAACAAAATGTGTTACGCTGACAATTGCACTCCTGCTAGTTTAGCTCGATAATCACCATGGATAATCCTCAAATAATTATTGCCGAACATGCAAAGTAATCAGACAATTCGTTATAGTGATTTTGAGCATTACCCCAGTCATGGTTTGCGAGAAAATGGCAAATCGCACCGCAATCTATGTCAATATAATTTAATTGAGTTTCAAGGGGTTGAATCTCTCTCTTTCACTGCGACAATTCCATCCTTCTCACCATCATTCACCACCCCAGATTATTATCAAACGTGTGACTTTCATTGCCCCACCACCGTGATTCACGCATCTTCCCTGTGGTACATGATATGGCATCCAAGACGTGAATTGCCCAGAGTTGGGATTATGGAAAGAAACAGACGAGTTTTACTGCCTTATCTTCATCTCGACATTTTCTTCTTCAATTATCATTATCCCACATGTTGATGCTTCAGCACATGTGATATGCCAGTAAAAATAAAATGGTGGTGATTATTAAAATACGTGATGACTCATTTGCACCCTCTACTTTCAGATGAACACAGCATACATCATGAAGATATCTCGATTCTCCCACTGCGACAGGGGCGTATGTATGGCAAGACAATTTCTTTACATACATACAACACATAATGTACATTTGCCCCCAAATGTAATATGTTCTCACTTCCTGAATTACCGACCAGAGGTGGGCTACCGCCATCCATCCCTTCGCTGGAGAGCCCACCCTAAAATTTGAAATTGTGCCTCACATTGTAACACTGGGTGACTGCGAAAGGAAATGCATTTCGGTGACATTTCCATTTAAAATTTATTTGCCGAGAGATAATATGGAATTAATGAAATGTGCAACGGGAGCACAATATAAAATATTTTTATTCGTCCCCCGTGAGTCCTATGCAGCCATTGGCTATGTACACATTTTCCCATCACGACACCCCCAATGGACACCCTCGTAGTTGTTTTTTTTCGGTTATTCTCAGAGGGATAAACCAATACTGTAACTCACTTTCAACCGCAAAAACATTATCATTCGCATTTTCCTCATAAAACTCACACTTTTATGTGCACAACACATGATGTCGAATCACATGGACAAAACGCCCATAAAGCGTGTGTAATTACATATGAATTAAAATTCTTTTAATTTTACAATTTCACATTAAAGTGTTCACTTGTTATGTAAAAATGGCACGATTTTGCATTGATTTGCGAAAAAGAGCCCGCCTAGAAGTATCATTAAATTTCATATCATTATTTTGCAAATTTTCAATGTGATAAGGCTTATTCAGAAAGAGGACGACTGCCAAGTCTATAGTGGCTCGTTACCCAAGAAAGATTTCTACTCTGTAAAGTGTGTTACAAATTACACACTTGCAGAATTCGGTTTCTCGTCTCAGGTAGAGAATCGATTTTTACTATGTGCATTCATAAGTTACACAACATTCCGGACTCTTGAAAAGTTTATGTAAATTCGATAGGCAGCTTTAACGGCAATTTTTCCCCTGTGGGCAGTTGTAGGAGAATTTTTTGGCACATTTGAAGAGTCAAAAGAGAAGAATTTCTTTTAATTTCTGTTCTCTACAAAATCACAAAAATCCCAGAGTGAAATTCCTTCTACAAATATGAGCATTTCGGTCGTTATCCACTTTTTCTCTCGTTGAGAGTACAAAAACACACAAATATGAAATATAATTTACAAAAGTGCTGGAAAGGATAAGACGATTTCTCATTGTAAATACAGAAGAAAGGTGGGAAAATGGAGATAAAATTCGGTTGGAATATTTTTACACATGATTTACAAATTTCAGGCAGTTATTCCCTTTATACGACCTCTTTTTTTTATTTCCCCCTTTCCTCAGAGTGAATAAAATCGCTGTATATCCCCAAAAGTGAGATTATTGGAACATCTATAATATTCAGAGAGGGTTGATGCCGCTGTTTTTTGTTCACCCCCTTCTTTTGTACTCTACATTCAATTTCATTGATAACCCGGTGGGAAATTCGCCGCCGCGGCATTAATACAAATACAATACAAATTGGATTATTTGGAATATAGTTTTCCACATGTGCTGTTTACAATCCTAAATAGCACAGCATCACCAACACTTGAATACTCGTAATGCATTGAGAGCTGTACACCTTTCCCCGCTTCGCGCAGTTCACAACCCGAACACACATCCTATTCAAAGAGCACCGATGGCAAGCACAATTCGCCCCGTAATGTGATCACTTCGGAAAAGCTCCAGATTGAGCTTTGCATGAGTATTCTGACATTCCCGGTACTGACACTTCCATGTAGCATTCGTTTGTGAAATTCATCTCGCTGTGCTCCGAACGTTTCCCACATCGAAGGCGCACTGTGAAATATTGACACATTGTGTGCGTTTATGCAAAACGCACAGAACTTTTGTATGTTCCTGACATAAGGGCAAATAATTTCCCCTTATTTGTGAAATTGAATATATTACAGCAAATTGTTTAATTAAAATGACATAAATAAAGCCATCTAGCGTTTAGTCTTAAGTATCGTCATGATGTTTGCTATTTCCGATTGCGCTATGCGCTGTTTATACACGCGCTGCTCGAGTAAATATAAAACAATGCGCAGAAAAGCCCTAGAGATCTCTATTAAAACCCCTATTTGATCTAATACCATGACCTATGAACCCAATCAAACGCTAAATGATTGGATTTCAGACAACATTTTTAGTTCTGCCTCACTTTCCTCTCTTTTTCTTTCTGTGCTTCGTGGAAAATTCATCCGTGATTGAGCTAAAATTAATTATCTGCTGAACATTTCGAGGCAGCAAAATCCATATTTTAAATAATTTGAAGACTTAAACAGGCGCATTTTATACACAAACGTGTTGTGGGTACAGCTCGTTAAGAGCACATGGCGAATCTATTCCTCTTTCAGTTTCACTCCCCAAACATTGGTAGAAAATCTACAGCCTTCGTGCCTAAACATTTTAACACATTGAACCAAATATTGAACGCGAGAAAATGTGCCGAAGACGAAAATTCATCGCACCCGGCGTCCTTTCATCATAAATTTTTTGCCATACCATAGAGCTCCACCATTTCCACCCCGGCTTTTCACGTGTGTCTCAACAATGCTCACTCCGAAAGCGTAGCAAACATACAAGTTGTCCCGACCATTCGCACACAGATGACGATTTTAATCACGCAAACACATATGAGAAAGAGTAGGGGGGATAATTCAAAATGGAAATTTTGGAGCACTATAGAAAATTTTATGTGGAAAAAATATCACAGAACGCTGTCTCAATACACATCTTGTGTGCTTTTTTTCTTCACTGGCTCCCTCGAGAGGATATCCAACACAGTGTCTCGTCATTTGGTATACTTTATACGCATCTCACGGAAATTAGATACATTATTTGTGGAAATTATACTCAATGTAACATATATTTACAGAGACGTTGGTGGCAGGAAGATGTCTCGATAGCTGGGGGAATATGGGAAGAAAATCGATATTCGCATGTGTGTAGGCGTACATTTTGGGGTTGTAGAAGCCAGTGAATTACCCTAGAAGCATCTCATTTCTTCGACGGATGGCTTGGAAATGAAATGTGGTACACACTGACTTTAACGAAGGGACTAAAAATCGACATAAATTACCATCTCGGCGTTGTGTTGGATGAGAGCCTACAGAGAGAATAAAATATTTGCTTTCTTTTTGCTAAAACTCACACCCTCTCTTTCGCCCTTCACACACTCTCTACACTCCGTTCAAACAGTTAAACTTCTTGACTTTGAAAATCCATCCTCCCTTTTGCCTTTATCTTCCTCTCAGTGAACTCCCCTTTTCCACTTAATTTGTATGTACAGATATTTATTTTCTTGTATTGAGCGTGACTTTATACTTTCGCTGTATGTGTATATTGATGTCAACTTTCAGAGGATTTCGAGAGGTGGCGAGAAGTTACGAATACACAGTGGTGAATACAAGAATATGTCTATCGTGGACATTTTTTCAATCATTTCATCATTTCATCGTGGACATTTCAATCTTTTCAGTGTTCAATTGCAAATAAATGTTCAGTACTGTTCAACATATTGACAGTGAAGCATGCAAAGTTAGGGACATGGTGTCTTTTCTCACCTGTCCACCACTGTATATGCTTCAGAGATGAAAATTGGGAAAATAAGGGAGGACCTCAGGAAAAGAGCAAAGTGATATGTGCGTGCTGAGAACTTGATATATGTATATTGGGGTTGATAATAGATTTCAGCCGAGTGAGATCAAACGGACTCATTGATTTGTTTTACCTGTCGTCATAGACGAACCCAGCGTCTAAGGTGTTGATATAGAGTGCCACTGCCAGCGTACAGCAACCCAAGCCGATGTAATCCATGCTGTGTGAGCGAAAAGAAAAGTGTAATGTGAGTCAAAATCGATATCTTTCATATTTTATTGATAAAATATACATTTTTCTTCATCCTCCTCCACAGACCACCCGGCAAATGTTTATTACGGAAAGGTGAAACGATCAAAAAGTAAAAAAAAAAATAACACTATGAAGGTACACGCGATTACACAGAATATAGTGCTACCACGTTATATTATTGCGGTGTTGTGGAAAATATTTGAAAGGACACCTCGTGAAAAAAAAGAAAGCGGGGAGAAAAAGCAGTGAAATGTTTGCTTCTGACAGGCGAGAATTTTTTCCTCAATCTACAACTATGGCATGAAGTAATCTGCAATAGACAGTTACAAGTCACATATTATTGGCGGATAGAATATTTATAATTCAAAACATAAAAAAAGGGAAAATTGATCAATGAGGGTGACTGCACCATGATTCCACCTTTTCTCCCCACGTAGCCACTTTTATTTATACTACACGGCAATTTTGTTTTATACTGTCGACATCAATTTAACGTTTGACGCGAAAAATAATAATTTTAGAGCAATTTACCACCCCAATTCCTTTGGAAGCGATGTATCTCTACCCCCAAAAACTCCATATTTTATTCTTGATATTATTATTATTATGCCAGCATACCACACGACGACTCTGGCCGTGTGCCCTTTTCTCGAGAAAAATTCTAAAAATGGACTTTAATGGCGAAGCACCAGGTGCCCTCCTAATTCGTAATCAACGATGCATTTATATAGCCCACTGTGACCAGGAATAGCGATAAAATGAAGGAGCGATTTTATAAGCCATGAGACAAAATTACCAGAGACTCATGCATACAACCTTGATGGCATATAAAAGCTTTGCCGCATTACAAAGGAAGTTGGAGTGGGAGAGAGGTACATTTCTAGATTATAGGATATAAAAAGGGGTCATTTAATTAGTATACTGGTTAAGTCTCTCTTTTGATTTAATGTCGGTCCTTGAGACAGAATCCAGAGAAGTCTGTATAAAGACAAGCAAGCGTCGTGGCTGAGAATAATGTGATAATTTACTTAATTTGCGCCCAAAATCTTCTCCAAAATTATACATGGCCGGTTTGTGTTACATTTATTAAACAAATTATAGAAACTTAAAGAGTTATTATAATATTTGCTGCAATATTTTACCTACAAAATATACAAAAAGCTACGTGAATACCATACGTATGGCAATGCCTGCCGTTCAAACGTGCACCAACAATCAAACTAATTTCCGAAACATATATGCACAATATACACAATTATGTATCTATCGATTCCGCTATCAATACGCCGTTAATGAGGGGTGTTACTATTATACAACCTATTTTCTATCTAAAATTATTTAGCTGGCCACTTATTGTATCACATGAACGAATATGACTCACGTGGTATAAATATATACCATGTGGCTTCAGTTAGGTGTCATTTGATCCACCATCGATGGTGAATCTCTTGGCTTACGCCCCCTGTAATTTTCTATGTGGCTGCAATGAACGACCAAATGACACGGTTGCGGCTTCCGGGAAAGCTTTTCGGTGCTTTCCCTCTAGCCCATATTCATTGTGACGAAGAAATGACCCATTCCCATGCGGAATTGGGAGATATAATTGCTATTTTCAGATAAGCATTTATAAATGCAAAAAAGTAGAAAGTGCGCTAATTTGAGCCCTCGTATATCATCATGAGCTAAAATGCACCTCCGACACAGTTACTAACTCAATCAGCGACACTCTAATTTCTCAGCAGCTCCACGGCACCTTACAAAGTTCATCACAGTGACTCCCAGAGATATTATTTACATAATTGTAAGCAATTTTCCGTGTCCATTAAATTTTAAACCAAACTTCAGTGAGCCCGAGAGGGATACCGTGGAGACGAGGGTGGAAATTATTTATTCCATAAATTACATACACAGTATTTTCTCGTTGCCTCTCGAGGCTTATTCTCCATGAATAATATCGAGAAAGGACACAACCCTATGACAGAGGTCGGGGTGGAGTGTGAGGAGAGCGAAAGCTCACGATCTCGTTGCTTACTCGACCGACAAATGTGTTATCACATTCACCACCTCTAAAATTAGTACCTTTGAATTAAAACACCCCCGCACCCTTTTCTGCACCTTCGCAATGGGGAAAATTTGTTTAAATTTGCAATATAAATCACACGCAAGCTTTTCCGATCCTCCACAGACCACAAACTCCCGAGGAATGATCATTTATCAAACATGTATTTTGACGTATCGATGCCGCTTTCTGTTCCACTTGTTGACGACTCATTCATACAATTCTCAATGCTTTGTATCTGCCAAGCTTTATTTACCATTCAATGCGCAATTAGCAAAGAGAATGAGCTCCTCACAATCACTTCTCCCTATAAATTCACCCAAAGACGAGATAATTGCCTATAACTATAGAAAATTTCGCTCTGTCTCCTCTAATTGACGAATTTGACTTTAATTGGTGGCAAGTGTGCATCAAATTTCCCAATATAAGCTATTATTCTCTGACACCACTTCAGCCCATGACGTCAGTTACAAATCCAAAAAAAAGTTAATAAGGTCAGAGGACATTTTCCCATATATCGCACTGCCACTCACTGTGACCGCGGTCACAGATGAGAAAAAAAATGGTGAGAAAATGAAGAAGAATTAGTAATATAGAAATGTAGGGAAAATTTCCATTTTACTAAATTAATTTCCCTTTGCTATTTTTCATTAAGAAAAATGGTGGAAAAATGTCGCTGGCAGACTTAGGCGCGCACTGACTGAATCCCTAATTTTGATTAATTACACTGCCAACCGAGGGGTACACACAACTTCACACACAATTTGCCATCCAGCCAAATGCCCAACGTCGAGCAAAAGAGAGAGAGAGAGAGGGTGTGAGAGAAAGAGTGGGAGAAAGAAGAAAAAAAATAGCAAGAAGGGAAAAACTCAAAACACATTTCTATCAGAGAAAGAGAAAGTCACCCTTGATTTCTTGGTCTTCTTCCGCCATAGAAAGTGAGCATAACGGGAGGCAATGTTTTATAACTTTCACAAGGAGCATAATTTGGAATTTGCGTGTGACTGAAGATAATGGGAATGTTATAGTATTTAGTGAAAATGCAATTTGCTTATTTTTCACACTCTGTCCCTGCTTTCACTGAAATTAAGTCTCTGTGGTCAGTGAGATAGAAAAGCCTTTCTGGGCATTTTGACGCAACTTGCACTATTTGTCTTTTACTGAATTACATTCCAGAGGTGATTCTGTCTAAGACCAATTATTACAGGCCATAATTAATACACTGTTCTCTAATTAACGCACTTTTTGATGTTGTTTCTGAAATGTTTGTTTTTCAAAAGCCACGTGAAACATTTTAGGCAAATTTATGTAAAATTCGGAACACTTATTCCTTCTCTTATTTTGTTTAACGCCCATTAGCAAGTCTTCAAGACATTTACGTAGGTATAAAAGTAATATTGAAAATGAATCTCAACTTTCATGACACAATTGTGACCTACGCAAACAACTTGTTCCTTTTGAGCTACAAAATTTAATATGCTTGAAACCTTAAATTCTCAGTAAAACAAACTTAATCATATTATTTACACTTGAATAGAAACACGTGTATGACGGCATAATGTCAGTTCTCACGTGCACTCAACGTATTGTGATCAATCTGGGAACTTATAACAGACATAAATAAATGCAATAATGTATGCACAGTAAAGTTTGAATGTCACATCTTCGTTGAATGCCTTTAAAATTAACATTTTGTCTCATATATTGTTAGTGTTTCTCATTACCATGCTTTCTAATACATAAAATCCTTTTTCATGCTGATGTTATCAGGCAATTATTCAAAATACATACACTGTGGTACATAGCAAAAGTGTTGTGGCATACCTTGACTTGTTGCAGTGCGCCATGGCTAGAAAATTCTAGTTGTTTCTGAATTAATCATCACATTACACACTTCGGACACGAATTTTCAAATTAATTCAAATTATTTAATTGAACCCCAACTTCTCTGTGCACACTTTCAATATATCTTCTAAGAGTGCGAGACGCAATTCTACGCACGAAGTACTTTCAAATACATCTACATATACTATTTCAAATTGTGTCCTTATTTTGATTTACTTGTGCCGTCAGACAAGGAACCGAGAGATCGCGCTTCTTCTGCGGCTTTTCTTTTCACGTGAACACCACGGTTGAGAGTTTCTGATCAGCACATCTGTCGGGGGGTATCTTACGTGTCGCCCTTTGTGAACTGCTCATGCTGCAGTAGATGATAGTGAGGAAACATCAACAACCCCTAAGAATCATTCAGCGTTTCGTGGGCGTGGAAGATTGCACGGCGATTTCCCTCCACGCCACATTCACTAACCACTGTCACTCGGAGTTGCAGTTTCTCCAGCTTTGTCCGAATCTGCCGACAAATTCACTCAGTTTAGTTTAGATATTTGAGGGTTGACAGAGAAAGACTTTGAAAGTGAGCAACAATCGTGATGCTCAACAAAGGTCAATTTTACATTTCTTCCTCGCCTCGAGATTCCACCCTTACGCCTCAGTCACGAGAGAAAGTCATCGTTGGCGAACGAAAGGGTGGCGTTTAGGGGTGGAGAGAACTTAAAAATGTTATGAAACTGCAGATTAGTATTTTCATTGAGTTGATGGTGTAAATACTTGTAAAAATGACCGAAACGACCGGGAGCGCGACTGTGGTATCCTTCCCAGCGAAGGACATGCGAGATACTAACTCGCGCACTCAATTCACGCGCAAATTTATACGACAGGATTCACGTACGAAGCCTCAACGACATCCATTCGATCCACGTCTCGTGCGCAGCGTGTGCGCCGGCGTGGCGACGAGAAGCTGCGCAACATCTTTCAACCACCCACCCCACACCAGGCCGCCAGTGCAACCGCACACCAGCAACCGATGGAGCATCAACCTCCGGCCCCACACCGCTGACAACGCGCTGTCGGAGGAAATTAACAGCAGCCCAAGATGCCCCCAACCCTCTCCCCTCTCCTTTTTTTAATTACACGTCGCCAATGACAGAGACGGCCTATTGAGGGGAAAATTAGGAGGGTGCGTGTTATCAATGACAAATCCACTCTATCAATATCATCACTGACAGCAAATTTTCCTCAGTCACCCTTGCAATTAGCCACATTAGCGCCACGAACAAGGCACTCCAGCGCTAAAATATAATGTATATTAATTTCAGTCACTGCCTTCATCTCTTGTTGATTATTGCTCTCGCGATGAATGCCTTTCTTATCTCTCCCACATTTATGGCGAAATGAAACATTACTCACAACTGTTCAGCCAGGCAAATGTCCTTTCGGTCCTTCTCAGCTTCCGCCAAATTTCACAGTGTGTCAAGAAATGTTTTCGGGTTTTTAGAGTTCTAGAATGCTGAATTTGTCGCAATAAGTCAGAGAGATAAATCCAATTGAGATAGAAAATTCAAAGTTGGCTGAATGTGGCAATTCACGACACATCGATATGTCTTCCTACACAGCTTCCGCATTTATCAAATAACAAATATCATTTTTTATCATCATTCCCTTATTTCCCCAGAGAGATTTGACGGGAAAGTCGTGGCATGAGAATGAAATTAGTGACTACACGATTTGTGCCATGTTTCAATGAGGTGTTTTCAAAGTCATTTGAACTTCCGCTATTCCATCACCTCCACTCCTAACACTCTTCCTGTCCGTTCACGCGGATAAAATATTCAGAAAGTTTGAACGGTATGCTGTGTGATTTAGCAACAAGTTGAGTCCCTTTTTCTGCTTTCTTCTAGACTTCGCACTTTGTCACACGCTTTCTCCGGGCCCTCACACCCCCGAGCTTCGCAGCACCGATACCGAGATTGAAGGCATTTGATAAGAATATTGAAAGAAATATTTGAATTTCACACATGTGCGGCGGATTGATTCCCCACCAATTTCCCTCCCTTGAGGATCGCTCAATAGAAAAGTACCCCCCGAAACAGTTTATTCTCCGGGGATTACTGTTTTGATGAAATTGTCAAGTTAACGAGAAATGTGTCCAAAGTGTGCTTCCCAGGAAAGTCTACCACATCTGACAAAAACAAATTTTATTAAGTGAAGATGAACTCCTTAGACTGTCATCTTGTACAAAAACATCTCTAATTTATTTATGAAATCAAATATTTCAAATTACCAGACACACTGCGAAGTTGTAATTATTCAAAAAGGGAGTCCATTAGTGGTAGCAAAAATTCAGATGCTCAAGATGATGATGAAAGGCAACAGAAATATCACCACAACTTTATATTGTGTACGCGAAATCCCCCAATCTCACAAAAGCTATTTCCATTTGATTCATAATTAATGCTAAAGCTTCATTAAATCCTTCCAAGCCACACATCTCTCGTGGTTGAAAATCTGCGCGCGGAGAGCAAAAAATCAACTGTTTTCTGTATCTGACGATAATTTACGCTCTTCCCCTTCGCGCCGTATCACATTTTACAGGGATGATGTTTTGCACCAATCTTCTCATATAAAATACAGTGTAATCTCAAACGGAGAGGAAACACGACAAACTAAGAAGATTTTCATTCTAAATTCCGCTATTTCCGTGGGAATTTCGCTGTAATTTACCATCTCCCTCTATTTCCACCCACTCCACAGCCACTCCTTCGACAGACAGTACAGATTTGTGAACTGTGCTCCTCTATTTTTTGTCAGCAATCCCGCAGTGCAGTGTTCCCCATATAATTATATTATGCGGAAGATTAAGGGAGGCGAAGACAACAAACTAGAAATATCCTGTATAGCATCATCTAATAAGTAAAGTCTCGCTCAGGGGAAATGCGATTGAAAGAGCCGGAAGAAACATGATACAATCAATTTTTCCATTCACTCTCGTGCCCTTTGACATGTATTTAATAATATATGTGTGTGATTTCAACATCCTTTTTATCACATAAAGCCACAACACAATTAAACACAGCGAGTCAATTGATTTTCACTGACATTTCTGCTATTCTGCGTAATAACCAACAACGCAATACTCGTTCATACGTTCGCGAATTACAGCACAATTAATTCTCACTGTTAATTAGGTCTAGTGGATTCAAAAATTTGAACGCGTGGTATTTTCATAATGGGAGACTTTCATTATAGCACTTCAATTGGAATGAGAATAATGAATTTTATTCAGAACTTTCCATGCTGAGCGTCATGATAAAAATTCAGGACGAATTTTTAATACATCACTCTCCCACCTCAAGAACAGCTTGTTCATGTTTTCTGTGTATGAATATATTTATCAATCCTGTTTACACGTGGAATGTGACTTGATATAATTAAATTTCCAATTCAATTCATTTGTTTTTCCCAAAAAATCACTCCAAAGGAAAAACATTCGCAATACAATTCGACTGTATTCTTTTTGTTTTCTTCCTAATTTCACATAAATTCTCGTCTTATTTCCTCTTGTTTCCTCAATTTGTATATATGCGAGGAATTGTGAATCGCATCAGAAAAAAATCATGACTTTCAGACAATTTGTTTCTAGAAGCAATTTTACAGATTTCCATCTATGCATGTAAAATATTTATATCTATGCCCATGCCTTTTGTCGACTCACTCGAACCCTTTTATCACTCTTCTCCAATTCCATCCAATGCCTTATCGAACTACAAAAATGTGATTTTCTTTTCTATATCACAAGACACTCAATGGAGTCAAATACAATTCTTTTAAAAGACTGTTTTCCTCTCTCTCGCATTTCACCCTCACACACATGTTTACCCCTTATATGAATGTAATCACTGACTTTTGTCTCGAATCTGTCTCAAAGACAGAAACACAAGTCTCATTTATTAGATTTGTTCGGTATTTTATTGCACTGATTTAGTGGCCAGCAATCTTCTTCCTCTGCTGGATCCCCAACTACACGTTTCCCCTAGAAAATGTTGCTGTCCTTCGGTGCCGTCTTCCCACTATTTTCGCCACGCAAAATAGTTATCGCATACATAATAGATTTTCGCCTCAAATTAGATCCATACGGACATTGTACATATGTACGTGTAAAGTGAGTATTGTGGAATCATTACGAATGAAATGTGTGGTTGAGATCAAATTTCGTTACACAAAAGGCTCATGTCGAACCTTATTTATTCACTTGATACCTGTGTTCATTAGTTATTCGGGTTCACATTTAGTATCTACATCTTGATCAACATCTTACATCATGCCTGAATCCCTACTAAGTCAGTTTGAAATCAGATTTCTGTACCAGGAAATATTCCAATATTTTTATAAATTCTATTTAGTAACAAAGCGATTAATTCTTATGCACAAATTCCATTTCGCATCGCATATTTTGGACTAAAGAGCGAGTTTATGCTTCGTGCAGCAAACTCAAAATTTATTTATTCGCACACTTCTATACATATAATCTTTTTCATCCTCAGCAATTTTCACTTGCTGGCTCAATATTTTTCCACATTGATGCTAGTGTGGGAGAGGAATTTGTGATTATTCAACATATTTCCGCCATCATTCATGTAATACCAAATGCCGCTCTGTAGTGAAACGCGTGTAATAATAAAAATTTTATAAATTTCTCCCGCTGTTAAACATTCATAGGCAGCGAATTGAACACATTTCTGTGAGAGAGTTGGCAGCGGCAAAAATTTTTGCAATAAAAATGATCATCCCCGGTGAGAGGAAAGGGAAGAGGGTAATAATTTTTTTGATGGTGGATGGTATGCGAACATCACGACCATATATTCAATATTAAAACGTACCACAATGCGCCAGATTTTGAAATAAAAGCACCACACCAACAATGTGAGCATATTAATCAGACATTTTGGGTGTGTGTGTAGAGGACCAATTTGATAGGGTTGGAATCGTTTTGCTGATAAGAGTTAAACATTTTTATTAATTCGCACAACACCACCAAGTTATATTGTGTTTGTTGCGTTCGCACATCATAAAATCCATATGCTGTCTTTTGCCAATTAAGCTTGCAAAGTATATCGTGTTTGATTCATGAAAACTTCGAGAGTTCCTCAAATTCTCGTGATTCCTATCTTAACAACTTATCCCCCACGAAATAATCAAGGACTGCATATACGAACTGTAGATGAACTCTATTTACCAGAAAATTATCTCGCAAATTGCTATGTTTATACCACTCTGCCAAGAGAAGAATTGTTCCATTATTCAAGTGATATGATCATTTTTATGCTGTAAACAACAATATAATAGCAAAGTCCATTTTTTCCCACAGCCACCCTAAATCCCATGGCGTCTCACATGTTCTGTAGAAAAATGCGCGCTTGTGTGTTTAGGGATGGATTGTAATAAATGGAATTTTCGGGCGTTTATATGCAGTCAGCGAGTGGTGGTTTCCCATCAGATACAAATATGCCATACAAACTCTTATGTTGATAATTGGAAGCTGATAAGGCGCATCCGTTCTCCTCCATCGTCTCATCGCACATTACATAGCGATTGTTACATATAAAATACCCCACATATGTACATATGTCTGTTGTGCAAACAAAACAACCACATTAACTATTGAGAAATGTCGGGAAAACGCAAGAGGCAGATAAAGGGCAATTGGGCGGGCAAAATAAGGAGTCACCAAATGAAATAACACATTTCATCTCTGACACGTGTGTGGCAATCAATACGAATTTAGGCCCGAAAAAGAGAAAATAAAATCTCCTCTGCTTTACAACTTTCCACCAAAGCCTAAAATTGCTAAAATTGCTAGAATTTTCCACTCGAAGTCTGTAGATTTTTTGTTTTAGACACGACGAGCCTTTTTTTTTTAATACGTGCACTAAATATCTGCATTGCATGTCATAGCGAATCTCTCTTTTTCAATGCGGAATTCCATGATGTATGTACGTACATACATATGTATGTAACTCTCGGGACAAAATGTCCATTGAGCTTGTGCTATTTTTTCCCATACTGGAAAATCGAGATAAGCTGCTTCCGCCAAATGAAATAGAGTATCTCACTGCGTCGTTCTTCTGCAGTATGAATATTTGAGGACAGGATGAGGAGTAGCATTGCCATTGAAAGACTGGATATTTTACAAAGTGCTTAATTAAGTGAGAAGTTTAATTTCACGTACTACCTTTGGGGTGAAAGGTTTTTGGCAGTATGAAACAAAGAGAATCTTAACTTCCTGAGGGCAACCATTATTTTGATACCAAATCTCTATCTCTATTGCACAATATGGATAGAAAATTTTCCTAACGTACACACAGGAAATTTTTCAGCATATGATTTTGTAATCTCCAGAATGGAAACCACCCTCTTAAGCACAAAAGCGAGATGGAGAATGAAATAATAAATGACTTGAGTGGATTGTGACCGCCTCCTTTGGCATCCTCTTGTGCTCTTTCGCTGCAGTATTGACTCACCGCCAACCCGTTCGGTCTTGAGAAACATCTCTTCCATATGCAATTTGTGGTCTCTTTCGTGGTCCTACCCCGCAATTTTAACTCAATCGGATTGGCGTCTCATTGCTTGCGGTATTTTTTCCGGCTCGATACAGCGTCTTCCGCCAACCTACCAACAAACATTGCCAACAGCATTTAAACTATTCACAAGTACACAAAAGCCATCTCGCATACCCAATTTCGGAACAATATGCGCTGCCATATTGCTCTATCACTCCTAATTCGCATCTATTTCTCTCCAAATCACTGAATCTCAATCATACTTTTGCAATACAATATTAATTATTGTAGCAATACGCCATTTGAAGCACATTTAAACAAACACATTATGTTGAATGTGTTGAAAAAGTTGTTTAATTGAAAACTAAAGCACTAGGTACACATAATATGATTCATGGCAATAAATGTTGCATTATTAATGAACAATCGTCGGCGCAGTGAATTTAATCAATTTCCTCTGACAAGTAAGGTGTAATAGTGAAGGAAATAATCTTGTGGTTTCCCGTCACAGCGTCTGTTCCACGTTATCATTCATAGGGAGTTTATATGCAATGCGGCGCAACTGACGCAAAAGGTGTAACCGCTTGGCCAAAAAGTTAATGATAGACGACTTCCCCAGCAGTGGCTTAGGGAGAGTGTAAAAGAAGAGAATTTCACCATGGATACCCATCTTCCTTGGGGTAAATTATGGACTTGTGTTTGGCCAGAAGTGTACAATGACTGCTCTCTCTGCAGAAGGGATTAAAAATGCTTCTTTTATCCGGCTGGTCCGGTTGTTTTTCACCGTGTCTGTTCCTCATGATTTTAATTAGATGCAGCAGAAGAGAGAAAGAGAGACTTTTTCTGAAAGTTACCTACTCACATTTGGGGGTAACCTAATTTTGAGAGTGGAAAAGTACTAAAGAATAATAGAAAATGATACTGAAATTCTCTACAGTTTGCCATTTCCATCAATTCCATATCAATTTCTCGGTATCGCGTGATTCCTTTTAGTTTTCCGATGGTGTTGTCACAAAATATGTAGAAATGTGTGTGGTTTTTTTCCACTTTTGACTTCAACTTCTTTAAATACCCTTCCACCCCAAGGTGTAGACTATAAATACGTCATATGCCAAGCACAATATGTACAATACAAAAGCTAAAAGGGCTGCACCGAAATTCCCATATCCCACTTAGAATAAAAGTCACTGCCAATTGTCACGAAAATCGATTTATACCATTTATACAGAAGATTTATTTTCCTCTTATGCCGAATATATTTATTGAAATGTGTCAATTTTCCGTTTCTAAGAACAGTAGTGAAATTCCATATGTATTTTGTTGGTGAATTATCATCATTTCCAATTTATGTACTTCATGTATTAAACAAGACTTTCGAGAAGCAAAGAAGAAACGGATTTCTCTAATGGCTGTGTAAATGTTACTGTTCAGTCTCTCCACCTTGTTTGCTGTGCTTTCTCATGGGTTTGCGCCTTGATGGAACAGAACCAGGTGCTCTTGTTGACTTTGGCTTAGGATTCTCAAGTTCATCCAATTGTGCATCAGTCAGGCGATCTTTGTACCAATCGGCACTGTAAAGAATGCGTCAAATTGATGAATAAATCCTCTTAGCATCCATCCAATATCACTCAACTCACCACTCCGGGACTTTCCGCACCCATTCGCAGTATTTGTGTGTATCATCGAACACTTGACCAAGCTTGCAACCATTGCGACGCGGCACTTCGCCATTGATGCACACGTAGAAGTACTGGCAATCCTCGGGATCGGCGTAGCGCGGGTGAGTCAGAGCCACGCTTTCATTGACTTTCGGGCAGGTGAATTGGAAAATGTCCTCGCTGGAGCAGCCAATCTTTTGCGCCTCGTCAGGCCAAGTGCAAATTCCTGTCTTGGGATTGAACACCAGACCAGCTGGGCAAACGATCATGTTGAATTTCCCATCAACACAGTAGTAGAATTTGTCGCAAACACCCTTGTCTTCGTGACCAAAATACCCGTGAAGACGAGGACAGTGCAGACTAGGCTTTGGAGTTTCTGCAACAGGATGTCAATTATTTCCCGGACTTCTGTAAGCCATAATGAAATACTCACGCAATTTGGGGCGTTGAGAGCAATCTATGCCGAAGGGTAAATCGCATTTCTCCTGATCAGGACTAAAATCATTGAAGACTTGTCCGTCAGGACACAACTTTTCAGTTATAGCTCCATCACTGGACATTAAGAGAAAGTAGAATTATATTTGAGCATCAAAAATTGTGTAAAACCATCAAATCTTACTTGCACTCATAGTATTTATCGCACTGTTCAGCATCTGCGAAGAATCCAAATGGTTCCGGACATTCATCTGTTATTCCATCTTCTTCGGCAGCCGCTGACCTTGCAAGTGCAGGCTTTCGTGTTGTTGTGGACTTTCGCGGGGAAATCTGACCAAGAGATGATCCTGAAATGAATGAAAATATGATTTTCCCGTTCTCGATTGTTGTGCCTCAAAAGACCGGGTTAAAATCCAGCGATGCCACCAGACCGGATAGTTATTACATTAGCCATGTCGAAGAAAAATGTCAATATTTGCATATTTATTTCACCTTTACCAGTTACACCAGTTTTTTCACCACTTCCTCAACTTTTTCTTGGAGCTGTAATTCTCCCATAACTTCTCTATCACTGAAGGTCAACCAATTATATTATATCTACGGATTAATGTATCACTTTAATTGCTATCAGAGATTATCATTAAATTTACTATTCCACAAATAATCTCTTCATCTGCACTCTTCCCATATGTATATTGGATTCACACAAACTACAATAAAAATAACTTTCACTTTTCATAACAGAATAATTGCACACGATATTTATGAAATTTCCAACTTTAATTGCACAAATAATTCTCTCTCTCTCAACATTCATATATCGTGACTGTGTATATATAATGCACAAATTCTTCGCAGAAGCAACTCACCTAGGAATAAGGCGATGAGAGTGAAGGTAAGGAAATGCAGTGTGGCCATTGTGAGTAATGAATTACAACTGACTCTCACCATGTCCAAATCAACGTTGCGGAGCTCTTACGCTGGACCCCCTTCCAAGTCATCTGAGCTTGTGTTGTGAATCGAAGTGTTGATTATGGCGACAAGAAGTATCGATGGTGAGAGAAAGATTGGTAGTTTTGTTGAGTGTTAGTGATTCAATGTCTCTCAAGACGGAGAATGCTTCCAACAGGTTTTCATGCATGCCATTCTTACTCATTTTGTATAGTAAAAGTCAGGGTAAAAGTCTAGGCAATACATATGCTCTCTACCCATTAAACTTGAACTTCAGGAAGTGATTGAACGCACACGTTCAATGCATTGATGCATGAATAAATCAATAAAAAGTCTACCATTGCCAATGGAGTCGAAAATTGATTTATTTTGCCTGCAAAAGTTTCTCTACTCTAAATCCGCACTGTACATTTTAATCAGGGTTTCCCAGATTGATCTGCAAGCCACAATGCGCTCCGAGCCATCGGGTCTATAATCGCTTAAAAAGTCCCAATATAAATGGGGAATATATTCCGAATGCAGAAAATGACAGAGAGAAGGGAGGAAATTAATTGTTTTACAATCTTCCACCCATTGGAGTGTGAGACGAGAATTCACACACAAGTTCAGATGGAAAATCAATTTCAATTCTGACAACTTGCCAAGCAATAAATCAGCCTAGGTTGACTTTATATTAAGGCACCTTCACATGGTAATCCCACAGATGGAATCCCAATTTCAAAATTAAAGTGTCTCTAAAATGTCAGCCATCCATCACGTGAAATTCTCTTACCATGAACACATTCACCAGTTGGGGAAATCTTCCGTTTTCGTGGATTGTCGACTCTGTCTTCCTCACCCTTCATCCACGAGGCGTCAGAGATTTTCTCGAAATTTATTATTAATTATCCACTCTTCAGCTAAAATGTGTTGTCTTGCACAAACCACGCGCGCCCGACTATTTTGCTAAATGACATTGTGGTTCTTGGGATTTTATATTATACCGATTAATATGGCTTATTTTGCATTCGTCCTCATTATCGACTTTCGCTTGAATGCGAGCAGAGAGTCAAGAAGGATGAGTGAATCGTCATAATTTTACTGCAAACTCAGGATAAATAATTCAATTTGTAACAACGTACGTCTGCCTGAGCGAATGGTTGTCTGCACATGATACCTTATAACTCAGTAATGTGAGTGTGCAATACGTGTTTCCCGACATGAGCTATTAATGAGCAATGAATAGCGAATCTCCTCATATCACGGATCAGGATTTTGCGAAAGTATCTGATTTTCTTCCCTCTCATGAACCTGTGAACTTTTAATTCCTGGTATCACTGTTCATATTGCGTATTTTGCCACAATATGCATGCAAATTTTCAGACTTCTCCACCTTCAGGAGTTTGCAATTCTTGGAAAACTGAGTGTGCAATGTTAAAAGGCTTTTGGATGAGTTTATTTCTGTGTGCCCTTTGACATTTTGATTTGCAAAATGGTGAAATTGCAAAACTCAGAAAACCACACTACCTCTGGAGAGTGGAAGTGCAAATAATTAAAAGCACTTGAAATACAAAAGGTATCAACCTAAAATTTACCTAAAATTGCAATTATTTCATTCGTCCATCCTTAGATTTCTCTACTGCAGCAGAATTTAATTTCAGCTCCAAGGTATTTTCCGCTCATTTCACCCCCCAAAAGGCGGTGCGTCACATCGGATATAAAACTTTCGCTGAAGGGTGAAAAATTTAATAAGAAAATTTCGGTTGTAATTTAAATTCATAACAGTGAGAAATTGAATCAGTGATTAATTCCGCCAAGTTTTGCATCACTTGATTGATTATGCAGCGATGTGAAATGATTTGATTGCAGGGCGCTGCCGCAATTTACGATGTGGTGGAATTTTCATTGAAAATCGCCACAGGGATTATTCGCTCCTCCTAACATTCCATGATCATCAAATAGCACCCCTCTCGCTCGCTCCTAAGCAAACTATGCTACACTGCAGCATACCATCAACCATATCCTCGCACCTCCGGTTTCCACCCCGCTCGGCGTACGTATGAAGATACCGTGTAAGCGTAGGTATGTGAATATACAGAGGGTAAAAGCCATGATGTTGCTGGAAAAATTAAATTGCCAGTTCTCTGGGCAAATGCTCGACTTTAGAATACAAATGCACAATTGGTTTCGTCTCTGTTTCGCCATAACAAGGACCTCAATAGCGCTGACTGAAGAACCGGTGAAATAGCCTAATATTGCATACATAAAACTTATTATGCAAGGGTCTTCTTGGCTCCAGCAAAGTAAGCCGTTTTTTACCCTATTTTTGACATTTGAAACGTCTGTTTTCCATTTTTCTGCAAGAATTTCCCACAATCATAAGCAATATAAAAAAATACAAACAGTCAAATAAAGAAATACGATGTGCAGAAGAATCAGACTCATTTTCCAACTGAAGAGAACCTTCGGATGCCACAAAATTTAAGAATAGAATTTAGATTCTGGGATCAGATTTTCATTGCGCTTCAGGACATTTGTTTGCACTGAAAATCCTGTACGCAATGATCCAGAATCAAGTTTAGACTGCATTGCAATTACAGATTTCAAGAATTTGCAAGGGAATTGTGAATTTTATTTTAATTTCAAGCCATTCTGGCAACAATAAATCTGTAGTAATTCAATCTTTACACATAAGTTACTTGAAAAATTATACGTGTAAAATATTACATCTAGTCTTGCACTCATATCAAGTGAAATATTCACCTCCGTCTGAATATATCTACCACTTTACCTTTTGCTGTCGAATCTCTAGTCAAATTGATTCACATGCTGCTTTTCTCCAAACTCCGCTCACAACAAAACCAAATTCTTCAAGCTGATTAAACAATTTTTATTAATACACCTCTTCGTTACTCTACGTTAACTATCTCGTTATTATACAATAAATTATTACAAAGTCATGCCTATCTTTACAGTACTATGTACAGTGGACAAAGGTCCTTATTGCGCAACAAAATCCGACAAATTATTGTTTCACGAGGTTTTGCGTAATTCATTCGATTGCTGATTCGGCGCCCCATCCCACTCGCCTCAGCCAGTATTATTCAGTGGTCGACTAATGATATTTGGTGTGGTCATCGATCGAATTTCCAATCTGAAAGCAACAGCAAATCATGGCGATTAGCCGATAAATCTTATCGGGAAGCCAATGAACTCACTTCAAGTCCCTGGGCAGGCAAGACTGGTCGATTCTGTGCTCCAGGACGGTCATAAGAGCAAGCGTCTTGAGGGTGGGTTCGAAGTCCATCACGTGGATATCATTGAAGTCACACAGATTCGATCCTGAGGGATCGTGCTGCTTCGAGGGACTGTCGAGAGGCAGAGGAAGCGCTATAAATCACTGCACAAAGGGGAGATTGAGAAGCTCAATTACCTTGTTCCACCAAATAAGTAAAGCTTCGTTCCAATCACGAGGCACACGTGACGACGTCGAGCACATGGCACTTCCCCTCGGCTCTCCAGCAGACGCCACACGTTCCTCTCCGGATCGAAGCTGTACATATCATTGAAGTGCTGATCGTGGATGCCGTTGTAGCCCCCAAACACGTAGATTAGGCTTTTGTACACAACTGCAAAAGGGGAGAAGGTTAGTATCTCGTCTCATGGATTGGGGCACTTTTGTGGCTCTCACAGGCTGAATGGCTCCTTCGGCCGAGCGGGACGGTTCCTGTGGTGCGCGGCATGTGCCAAGTCATTGATTTGAGATCAAGGTACACGATATCGGAGTTGTAGATCTCATCCTGAGAGTGATACGGGCTCCGTCTGTCGCCACGCCCGCCGAAAATATACATGCGATCGTGCACAGCCACGGCGGAGTGGAAGTCCCGGTACGACGGGGGCTCTCCGAAGGTCTGGACGTAGCGCCACGTCATGGACTCGAGGTCCAGGCAGTGCACGTCGTGCGAGAACTGCTCCAGCGCCTCCTCGAAGCCCCCGAAGATGTACAGCTTGTGTCCCACGATGCACGCCGTGTGTCCGTCGCGGGCTCCGGGCACGCTGCCCATGACCGTCGGCGCGGACCACTTGAGCGTCCGCGTGTCGAAGCAGTACAGGATGTCGCACACGATCTCGTCGTTCCGGCCACCCCACACGTACACCAGGTGCTTGTAGGCCACGGCTGTGTGGCCGTAGCGCTGGAAGGGCACCCAAGGGTACTTCAGCGGGTGGCCGTAGTCCTCCTTGCGGATGGGCACGAGACTCCAGCGCATGTTGAGGCTGTTCAGGATGTGCACGTCCATCACAGTGTAGCTGCGGTAGTCCTCGCCAGCACAGTAGCCCCCGAACGAGAAGATCTTGTCGCCAACGGCCACGGCAGCGTGATTCACCCGCCTGGGCCCGCCTTCTAGATGCATTGTCCAGTACATGTCCACAGAAAAAGCCACTCTAGACTGTCTCTAAGCAATCGGAATATCAAAATATGTGATGCTCTGGGGAATTATTGACTTTTTGCACTCTCTGCATGATTCACACTCTTGCCATTTCACCAAATTCGTCTCGAAATTGATGCAATCTCAGTATCACTTAGCAGATCCATTTTCCTTCGTCTGCCAACCTTCTGGCCATCAGTCACCATCGCATGCCCACTCCACTCTTGCGCAACCGCCGAGCGCTTTCAAGTCACTGCAGAGATAATTTGTGAAAATATTTGGCAATATTTAGCGAGCTGAGGACGAGGAAAAAGCACTTTCCATACAATTTACGCACAAAAATATGCAAAAAATGACAGTTCTCTTACGCAAAACTGCGCGAAAACAGTGTTGCCAGCGCAATTCGAGCAAATCTCACATAACCCAACTTTTCACTCAGGTGTCCGCAAATTGTGCAATACTCAGCATAGTGCCGAATTTTCCCAATTTTCCCTGATTTCGACAGGGCGAAATGGGAGTCACTGGACTGTGGAAGCTGCTGGAACCCTCAGGGAAGCCTGTGCCACTGGAAACCCTAGAGAACAAAGTTCTGGCGATAGGTAATTCGCTATTTTCCCAAAAAGCCTCCCTGTAGCTAAATCTCCTCCCTTGCAGACATCTCAATTTGGCTGCACCAGGTGGTGAAGGGATTCCAGGACTCAAAGGGTGGCACACTCCCAAATGCCCACTTGCTGGGACTGTTCCATCGTCTCTGCAAGTTGCTTTTCTATCGCGTGAAGCCGGTGTTTGTTTTCGATGGCGGAGTTCCCGTGCTGAAGCGCCAAACAATCAAGAAGCGTCAAGAATCGAAGAAACAATTCCTCAATTCGGCCGATCACTTGCAGGAGCTCCTCCTGACAGCTCTGGCAAAGGAGCGAGTGGTGCAGCAAGTCCTGGGCGACAGTGCTTCGTTGCTGGCAAAGTCTCCGAAGAAGAGAATCGAGGAGGAGAAGAAAGCCAGCAGAGATGACATGTTCAAGCTGCCTCCAATGGAGGATACTCCGAGTGCAGCTCCTGTGGATGAGTCCTTTGAGGAGAAGAAGATGTCTACGATGACTCTGCACTCCATAGATGTGAACAGTGCGGCTTTTAAAGCCCTTCCGGCTGACAAACGTTATGAAATCCTCACTGATCTCAAGGAGACGAGGAAGCAGTCATCCTGGGGACGTCTTCATGAGCTTCCGGTGCAGAGCAACGACTTCGCCAGCTTCCAAATGAAGCGACTGCTCAAGAGGCACCAAGTTCAGCAGTCCTTGGAGGAGGCTGAGCAAGAAATGGGCGGAGCGACTCTGTCATTCTCAGAACTGGAAAAAATGCTCACTGAGGAGGGCGTTCTGGCGGCTGCGACAAAGTCTCATGGCCAAAGAATAGCTAATGACGATGTGACAAAGTTCGTCTTCGTGAAGGATGTGAAGAAAGCTCTGGAAGAAGCGAAGAAGGCCGAGTCGAAAGATGCTGAAGAAGGCCCAAGTTCTGCATTGGGAACGGAGTTTGATAGTGATCTAGCGAAAGCCATTGCAATGTCTCTCGAGGAGGAGCCAGAGGAAGATGACGAGGAGGAACATCTTGAGGGCGCCGTGAAGATGAGCGAGGCACAGAAAAGATTTCTCAAAGGAACCGCCAAATCCATGGCGAGAACTTACATGATGGAATTCGGAGGAATGTCTAGTGAGGATGTCGAGGAGTTGTTCAAGGAGAGCGAAGAGGAGACGTCAGCAGTGGAAATTCCCCTGTTTGACCAGGAAGTTCCCGAGGAGAAGCCCATCAAGGAGACTGTGCAGGTGATTTCCAGTGACTCTGACTCAGATTTTGAAGAAGTTCCCACAAAAGAGGACAAAAGCAGCCTCGAAGTTGTGATAAATCCCAGTAAGATTCGGGAATCTCTCGAAGATGACCTCTTTTCGGACATCTTTGCCAAAAAGGAGATTGAAGAGCCTAAAGAAGCGGAAAAGTCTCCAGTTGCTGAGAAGAAATCACTGGAAGTTGTGATAAATCCCAGTGAAGTTCCTGAATCTGTTGAGGATGATCTGTTCTCGGATGTTTTCGCCAAAAAGGATAAAGCAGAGGATTCAGAAAAGTCTTCAAAACCCACAGAAGAAGAAGAGCAGCAAACAGTTGTTGAGGATAAACCATTGGAAGTTGTGATAAAACCTAAGGAAGATTCAGAGAATCAGAAGGAAGAGGATCACAAGGAGAATGGCACAGTTCTTGAAGATAAAGTTTGCACAACAGATGTGATAAATCCTCCAGAAAGTCAGGAGTTGAGGAAAGACAGCACAAAGAAGAGCATTCTTGAGGAGTTGTTGGAAGAGAAGAAAGCAATCTCCAGCATTACTCTTGATGATTTGCCCAAGGAAACCTCTCAGATGTCTCAGCCAGAGGAAGTGATTGAGATATCTGACACTGATGAGGAAAAGACTCCTAAAAAGGCCAAGAAATCCTTGGATGATTACTTCACAGTGTCCGGGACGCCGAAGAAGGAGGAGAAAGTTGAGGAAGATGTGCCAAAAGTGACATCGCCCTTCTTCGTGAAGAAATCTCCGAGATCGGCTAAGAAATCTCCTGGGAAATCCTCAGCAGAGGCGGAGAAACCGATTGTGGCGAAGGAGCTGTTTCCAGAGGACAGAGATGCGCTGATTCAACTGAAGGATGACTTGGTGCAGGAGACGAAGAGCCTGGAGAGTGAAAGGAACAAGCAGGAGCGCCTGGGTGTGTCCATAACGGAGAAGATGACGCACGAGTGCAAGCAATTGCTCAGGCTCTTCGGGATTCCGTACATTGTGGCGCCCATGGAGGCGGAAGCGCAGTGTGCCTTCATGAATGCCATTGAGCTCACGGACGGCACGATCACGGATGACAGTGATATCTGGCTGTTTGGCGGACAGACGGTGTACAAGAACTTCTTCGATCAGCGGAAGCATGTGCTGGAATACCGGATGGAGAAGATCGAGAAGCTCTTCAAGATAGATCGCACGAAGCTCATCCAGATGGCCATGCTGGTGGGCAGCGACTACACGATTGGGATCAATGGGATCGGAGCTGTGACGGCGCTGGAGATTCTGGCGCAATTCCCCATCACAGACACATCGGAGACCGACTATGGCAGGCTGTCGGGACTGAAGAGCTTCAAGGATTGGTGGCATGGAAGCCGACACACCACGTCCAAGCGCAGCGTGCTGAAGGGGAAGCTGAACAACATCGTGATGACTGAGGGCTTTCCCAGCGTCAGTGTTCTGCGCGCTTATCTGTATCCTCACGTGGACGACAGCCAGGAGGCTTTTGTGTGGGGAGAACTCGATGTGGAGAGCATCAAGGAGTTCAGCAAGAAGCAATTCGGCTGGCCATCGACGAGGACTGACGAGCTGCTGGTGCCGGTGCTGAAGAAGATGAAGGATCGCAAAGTGCAGCCCTCGATTAAGAACTACTTCAACATCCTCACTCCTCGTCACAGCACAGAGATGAAGGTCAGCAAGAGGGTGCGAAAGGCTATTGATAACATGTCTGGGGAACCGACAGAGTTGGCGACCGTTCAGGAGGACGAGGAGGTGCCCAAGAAGACCAGGAAGAAGCCCGCCAAGAAGACTGAAGAGAAAGCTCCACGCAAGCGAAAGAGCGACGAGGAACCCGTGCCGAGCACCAGCAAGGGCATTCCGAAGGTCGCCCGGATACCCAACACCAAAGCCAAGATCCCGCAGCGCGAGAAGGACAGGGCGGAGGCGCAAGAGAAGATGAGGAAGGCCGTTGAGGCATTTAAGAAGAGCAAGTGAATAAATAAGCTTATATTTTTCTTCACTTTTTGAGGTCCTCGAAGAATCTGGGCGGGACGCGGAATCTCAGCAGGTCGGCGTCGGGGATCTTGTAGAGGCCGTAGTGACTGATGGCCTCCAGACACATGGTCTCCAGGCGTGGGATTTGCAGCCACATCCGGTAGATCTCGAAGTGGCCGGTCGTGCCGCAGATGTACATGCAATTGGGATGACTCTGAGCCACGCGCATTATCATCAGATTTATCTGCTCGATCACGTTGATGAAGCGCCACTCGTAAGTGGTGAGATTCAGCGCCCAGATGTCTGTGCAGTTGTCGAACTTGCCATTCCCGCCGGCGACGACGATCTCCTGGCCAGTGGGAGTGTCTATCACGAGGCAAGAGGGCGTCACTCTGGCTTCTGGGTAGTTCTGAATGGACTTGCCGCGTCTGTCGGGCTTTGTGTTCACTGTGGTCCACGCGAGACTCTCCAGACTGAACACTGGAAGCTCCACGAGATCCACCAGCTGATCGAATCCCTGGCCGCCGATGAAGAAGACTCTCTCCTGCACCACGACCACAGAGTAGTCGAAGCGCCTGTCGCTGTTCTGATGCACTGGTCGTGAGATGTACTCATGTCCCATGCCCTTGAGATGAACCCTGAAAGACAGCACTTCCTGATCATCAGCATTTCGCAGAGTCCCCAAATCCCACCTGAAAATTTCACACAGAAACTTCCTGTCGCCGCCTTCCTCTGATATACTGAGATCCCCGAATGTGTACAGATAATCCCCATAAACCGTCGATCCGTAGCACTCCAGGGGCTGCTCTGGACGAGGAATTTCCGGCAACTCCTCCCCATCCTCGTACTCGTACGCTATTCTCTTCCCGTAGCGCGTCTTGAAGACATGCCGATTGGGCTCCTGCAGAGAATCATCCACGGCCTCCATGGTGGACCAGGTGGACGTGAAGACGTTGTAGATGTGAGTCTGGGTCATATTTCTGCACTCAAACTCATTCGTGAAGAACAATTTCCAGCCGCGACACTCGAATTTGGGATCGCCGTTCTGCGAAGACGTTCGCACCAGCATATTTGGCGACACAATAGACAATTTCACCAATCTAAAGGGTTTCTGGGCGAAACAGTCAATCTTCACTTCCGCTGCCATCTTTAGCGCCGCATGCACTTCCTGTTGCTCAAGCTGAATCACGGAAAAACATTTTGCAAAACAGATGTTTTGTTTGCAAATTATGCTGTGAGATTTTTATCCAGAAAAACAGCTGCGACGCAGAAAAATTACACAACCTGTGAGCTTTTCCGGGAGGATAACAGGAATTTCTCAGGAAAATTAAATTCAAATTCAATCTATTTCGAGGACCTTAAACACTGGAATGTCTTCAACATCTCTGAGCCAGAGAGGACTGGTCAGGAGTTGAGCCTTAATGTAATTCGATGCTCTGAAGCACTGATTGCTGCAAAAGTTCTTCCTTTCCGTGATATCATACACCTTATTTGTGTGAGTTGAGATGTGGAATTGCTTCTTGGGGACATCCATCAACTCCTTTGGGCACCGAGGATATCCGCAGAGGTGCAGAATAACTCTCTCCTCCACAATATCATCATAGTGGCACTGATTGATGTCTTGCAGTGACGATAGGAAGACAGTTTCCTCCACTTCCTTCTCCAAACATCGCTCCACGACGCTCTGAGCCTTAGCTGTGCACTCCTTCTTCTTCTTCATGGCCTGCAGGAGTTGCTCTTTACTAAAAAGATGGAAAAGAAATTGCAATTTCATAAGCAATGTTAATTCATTGTAGATCTCAGGAATATCTACCTGTAATTTTGAGCTCTTTTCGGCAAATTTTTCCTCGTGAGCTTTCCGGTGGGTGATTTCGATCGTGTCTGGGTTTTCACACTCTTCACTTCGCAGCCTTCCATGGTAATTTCTAGTGAAAATCGAGTAATTAATCTCTCGAGCAGTGCTTTGTTTTGGTTTTTCTCACAGCATTCTGTTATCCAAGTTCCGTGTTGCCCGATGTGACACTCCGAAACGCGCGTCATGTTGGCACGCGTGCCTTTGGATAATTCGTCATTCTGGGGGTATTTCAACATGGCTGGTGTGTGAACTCCGCAAAACGTTTTGGTGTTTGCTGAAAAACAGTCGCTAAAGTGCTCCTCCACGATGACTTCGACGAAGAACGAGGAGTCCGCGGCGAAGCCCATGCAGAGGATATACGGGCAGATAGTGATTTCGCTGGAGAACTGCCTGCTGCCGGACGGAAAGCTGGAGCAAACGCCATCGCAATTGGACGGCTTGGATCGCGACACGGAGGTCGACTTGCGAATTCTGGGCTGTGAGCTCATCCAGACGGCCGGAATACTGCTGAAGCTGCCACAGGTTGGTGTCACCTTTGACTTATATGTGATGATGAATATGGTATTTACCAGTGCAACATTCTCAATCTAACCCTCTTTCTCAAAAGGTGACTGTGTTGGCAGCACCCAACCACCCACCCGACCCCATTCGAGGCTCATTTGATTGGGTTGATGTTGAATGGGGGTGACGGACTCGATAGTCACAAATCGTAAAATTTTCTTGTATAAATCTCCCACAATTTCAGGTGGCAATGGCAACTGGGCAGGTACTATTTCAGCGTTTCTTTTATTCTAAATCATTTGTCCGACACAATATGGAGACCACCGCCATGAGCTGTGTTTGTCTGGCGTCCAAAATCGAAGAGGCGCCCAGACGAATACGCGATGTTATTAATGTTTTCCACCATATCAAACAAGTCCGTGCACAAAAACCTATTACGCCTATGATAATTGATATTAACTATATCACGCTCAAGACACAAGTTATCAAGGCGGAGAGGCGAGTACTCAAGGAGCTGGGATTCTGCGTGCACGTGAAGCATCCGCACAAGGTGAGTCAGTTGATGGCATTCGCCTCTCGGAATCTCTCCCTGACCGCGCATTTCTCTTGTTCCAGATCATTGTCATGTATCTGCAAGTGCTGGGCTTCGAGAAAAACCAGAAGATGATGCAAATGGCGTGGAACTTCATGAATGACTCCCTCCGGACGGACGTGTTCGTGCGCTACCAGCCCGAGACGATAGCCTGCGCCTGTATCTACCTCACGGCGCGCAAGCTGTCCGTCAATCTGCCCACCAATCAGCCCTGGTACGGCATCTTTCGCATCAGCGAGACACACATTCAGGACGTGTGCTATCGCATCTGCCAGCTCTACAGGCGCCCCAAGGCGAACGTGGAGAAGCTCGAGGCGGCCGTGGAGGAGCTGCGGAAGCGGTACATGGACTCGAGGACGAAATCGCGTGCCACGGGCCAGAACTCGTCGCCGGTGCAGCACAGCGTGGAGCGGAGCAACGGATCGGCGCACAATGCGTGGAGTGGATTCATCTCGCGGGCGGTGCCGATTCAGGTGGATGCGAACGATGACGGGCAGAAGAACTCCAAGTCCAAGTCGCGGACGCCGAGTCCGTCGAATGACGACAAGGGTCGATCGCGGAAGAAGCTGAAGCTGAACGATCGACGCTCACGGACGCCGCTGAAGCTGAGCAGCAGTGGCAAGAAGAAGTCGAGACACTCCTCGCACTCGCCCAGCACGTCGCCCTCGCTGAAGCACAGGAAAAGGTGAGTCAAAGATCAAGAGAGAGAAAGTGTGGAGATTTTCCATCGCGTTGACACTGAATTGGGTGTGTTTTTTTGCAGTGACAAGAAAGGCGATCGGTCTCCTATTGGCGGTCGGGACAAGTACATCAACGGTGATAAGCACGGCAGTGGCAAGGACTACATTTCCAAGGACTACAAGCGTGATCGGGACAGGAGAGATCGAGACGGCAAGGATCGCTCCTCATCGAAGTATGATCGCTACAGTTCATCCAGTCGCGATCGGTCGAAACATCGTGCGAGATCGAAGGACTCGCGCCGCTAAAACAGGAAGGTATTCTTTTTAGTAGGTTAAAAGAAAAAGAAACTATAGCGAGGCAAGGAAGAAGAAAATGTGGGTGGTTATTTTACAATTTGAATTGCAAAGGTACAAAAAATGGGGGGGTAAAAATTAGACCAGAAAGAATGGTTTTTCGCGAGGGAAGTAGAAAATTCGATGATTGGCCAAATTTTCCTACATAAACACATTGATTTACTTTGCAATTCCACTTAATTTTCCTCATTTTCAAATATTTCCCCGAACGTGTGATGGTTTTAAATCACACTGAAGAAAGGGTATTTTTATATTTTGGTTTCTACCACTAAAAAAAGGTGGAGAAATTTTATTTGCATTTTTAAATTTTCCTATTCTCACATCGAAAATCATGATTCTAAAAGCGGGTGAAGAAGAAAAAATCGAACAATGATAAATACTTAAACACCAAAAAGAGAAAAAAAAATCGTGGAGAAAAGTGAAAAAGAGTCACTCTTATTTAAATTTCTTAGCAAAATATTAGTTCGAGAGCAAGTTAATATCTTCAATTGTGGCTGAAGAGGGTTTTTAGTTGAAACATGATGTGTATTTGATAGACTTTGGAAGAGGAGAGGAAAAGCATGTCTTTTGAGAAACATTGCGAGATATGAGAATTCCCTCAATTTGTACAGTGTAAATTTTAAATAATGATAGCAGAAGACAAGTGAGAATGCAAGGTTTTAGTATAAACTTTATAAGAGATGAGAAGAAAGTGCTGAGGAGGAGAAAAGAAGAAGAAGAGAAGAGGGAGACTTTGAATAAATTTCAGATAAACTGCAGTACAAAGGTGACATCAATGGTTAATTGCAATGTTGTGGGGCTTCATCACTGTGGCGATATTGTCACTCTCTCATCCCCCCACACTTCGCTGGGGGTGGTTTTGTGGTGTATTTTTACTGGTGGTCAACACGAGTTCAACAGCGCGCGTGGGAAGGCGGATTGTCCGAAATGAAGGGGTGTTCCAGGAAAGATTCTACGACGTGTTGTCTTTCAGTTGGATTCATTGTGCAAATAGTGCAAATTGTCTCTCATTTCTCTGCTGTGCGTTGTGAGATTTTTGTCACACACAGAGAAGGACACAACTGGATGTGCGGCTGAAAAGGAGCATAAGAATGTATATTGATGGTGTGTTGGACTTTGTTATTTCCAATCGAGAGAAATTATATTGCTGCTCGTGTTGTTTTTCCCGGTGACTCCACGAAATGGCAAACATTGGAATTGATTGGAAAACAGCGGTCAGGCCAGAGTGTGAAAGGGGCGCAATTTGGCGTGGGAGGACTCCAAGAAAACTCCCCTAATAGACGCTAATTTATCGGGAATATTTTACCCCATGATTGTGTGCAGGATGAGCGCTTATGCGATACGGCTCAATTGTGTTCTTGAGGCAAATTCTCTAAAGGAAAACATCATGAAAAATGCAGCGTGTGATTGTAATCGAGGATACAATTTAATTTAATTCGCTGAAATGCAAGTTCACTAATGAGATCGTGACATTGGGAAAGATCTTCGGATGTCTTTAGAAACCAATCAATACTATGAAACAATCAAAACTACAAATTAAGTACTTTTGGAAAGGGTCAGCTCATAAAAAGACGATCACAAGAACTAAATGTGCATTTTTATCTTAATTGCATCTTATCTTCGACTTAAGGTCTACAATGTAATTAACATAAGCTCTTGTACTTACATATGCTTTTAAATCTCATTAGGCTTGCATTTTGCACATTTTCTAATCATTCCAAATTCAAGATCACTTAAAATAAGATTCTTTAATTTGCTCGCTTGCAAAGGCGGCCAAAAAACCACTGAAATTTTATGTTGTTTGCAGAAAGTGGGTTTTTATTTCATTTCACCGTACGAAGAAGTTGTCTCTCGTCTCCTTGTCGAGTGCGCGAAATGAGCATGATTTGCCTCCCCCTGAGTCGAGGTATTTTTGCATCCCTTCACGACTTTTCCGCCTCAGTTGAGTGCTGCCCGTGCTGGAGATCGCATCGCGAGTCACAATGTGGCTCCGCTTCTCGGCCCTCACTCTGGCCTTTCTGCTGCTGGAACTGCCCGAGAGTGGCCTGGCGCACCACGATGACGCCCTCGAGATAGTCTTCCGGCAGAGGTGATTCCGGCAGTGAGCAATCTTCCTGGGGCGATTCTGATGAGCATTGGGATTTTTGCAGGACTCAGTCAGACTGGGAGCGCGTGTGGCATCACGAGAGTCACTCCAGGTGTCGCGAGAGGCTGGTCAGGCATCTCTTCTGGGCGTGCGAGAAGGATATCTATCGGCTGACGAGGAGAGCCAGTGCCGGAGACGATGGAGTGCCGCGGCGCGAGAAGAAGATGGAATTCCCGTGGCTGGAGAGTGAAAATGCCCTGAATGTGCTGCGGATGAGGCGCAACTCGCGCGGCCAGCCAACCGGATCCAGCATCACGCGCGAGTGCTGCACGCGGGTCGGATGGTGTGTGCATTGGGGGCCACTTTAAGGCTGTTTCTCATTGGGATTTCTTTTTGCAGCACTTGGGAAGAATATGCTGAGTATTGCCCATCGAACAAGCGGATTCACCGAAAGTAGGAGATTATGTGAGGTTTCACAGTCATCGCCGTGGATATTCTGAGCTGTAACAAAGGGGGGAAGATCGGGTGTGCTGATTTGGTGTCTTTTCCGCTTAATAAAAGTGATTTTTTGGCAAAATGTAATTTCTTTAATCGCACGGACGTTGGAGTGTTCTCACTTTTTAAACAGTCAGCGAGCCAACTATCATGCCAGTTGCAGCGCTGTCAGAGTCACGCCAACTTCACACTGCTTCGTATTTTGTTTTGGGAAGTTCGTGGAGTAATTTTGTGGTCAGAGCACAGCAAAGCGCCTCAAGATGTCCAATCCGGAGACCACGCAGGTGATGTCTCTGCCCCTCCCACCCAACAACTACGTGAATCTCTACACGGATGAGCACTTGCGGAAGAACAGGGCACCCAAGCCGCCCATGCCCATCATGGACACATACTCGATGTTCGGGAACACCTTCAACAATGACGACAATATCATCCGTCCGCTGGAGACGCAGGGTTTCCGGAGACTCTACCCGCAGCACTTTGACCGCAAGAAGGAGCTGAAGAAGCTGAACCACTCCCTGCTGGTCAACTTCTTGGATCTCATTGACTTTCTCGTGCACAATCCCGACAATCCGCGGAGGGCCGAGAAGGTCGAGGACCTGAGCTTACTGTTCGTTCACATCCACCACCTGCTGAATGAGTTTCGGCCCCACCAAGCGAGGGAAACCCTCCGAGTGATGATGGAGATGCAGAAGCGGCAGCGAATCGAGACAGCCCAGAGGTAAAATCTCAACTGTGATGAATGTTAGACGAACTTCTCACACGATTTCCGTGGCTAGATTCCAGAAGCATCTGGACAAAGTGCGGGAGATCATCAAAAACGCCTTCAGTGCGCTCCCGGATCAGACGGACGAAGACAACAAGCTCATCGTTCCGGTGGAGCTGATGGACTTCTCCTCCGACAACGCGAGCAGCGACAGCAATCAGGATCACTGCCACCCGCTGGATAGACTAATGTGCAGTATTGTGGATAGTATGTAGAGGAGAAAGAGAGTATTTTATGCGAGGAAAATATTGAAAAACTATTTAACACGAAAACCTCCACGGACTTTCGCACGACCAGTCGCTGTCGACCAGTTGACGCGTGTACTAAAATGGAGGGGCGGGTGTGCGTAAAGATGGCGGAGCGTCAAAATGCAGTTGTCTCTCTCTGGCGCACGGGTTTTGTTTTGGCTACGGCAAAATTTCTTATGTGGTAGAGAAATGTGTTTCCTTCCCAATTTGCGGAGTTTCTCTGTGAAAAAACAATGCCCGGAGACGTAGGAACGCTCAGGGAATTGAGTGCATCGGAGATAGCGCAGCAGTTTATTGAGACGGCCCAGAAAGTGGACAAATGCTTTGGCTTCGAAGTGACAAAAGTGAGGATCGCCATTGTCAAAGGGGCACAATTTCCAGGGAAGACTCATCCATAAATTTCTGTTTTTCAGTGGCTGGAGCGCTACCAGGAGCTGCGGAAGCAGCCCAACTTCCCCGAGGCGGCGATGTTGATCATCAGCGCTGCCCAGATATACGGCAGGAAGGTGGATTACCTGGAGGAAATGGTGTACAATATTGTGCGTGAAAGCGTATCTCAGAATGCAGAGTGAGTAGAAATGTGACCGAGGAAATGTGATAATCCGCACGATCATCACTATTTCACCCCGCTGTCTTTGCAGGAAGAGTGATAAGCGCGGAGCTGACGATGTGGAGACGGGAAAGCGAAAGAGAGTGAAGCGCTTTCGTCCGGAAACGTTGTGCGAGAAGTTCCACTGTGCTGAGTATATCGTGAAAGACTTCAAGAGTCTCCCCGTGGCAACTCTGTGCGAGAAAATAGTGCAGAAGACACGCCAGAAGGGTGGCAGGAGTTTCGAGGAGGAATTCACGACGTGGACTGTCCGGAAGGATGCGAAGGGTGGCAAGAAACACGCCCGGAGGCGACTGGAGATGGAGGAGGAGGAGATGTGCTCCAGGTACACCTCCTTCGGCGAGAGTCACATCTTTGACTACGACGGCGAGGACATTGTGGGTCGTCGAAGGGATTTTAAAGTCTTCAGTGGACACATTGACGCTGAAAATCAGGCCGTAGGGAATGATATCAATCTGAAGAAGCACTACAAGGGGAGTAAGAGCATGGAGATGACCAGCAGAGAGGCCAACCAACTCGAGGATTGCTCTCTAATGCAGCCCGTGACAGTGGAAGTGCCTGAAATTGAACCTCCGATCAGTGAGGATCTGGGAAAGAATCTGCTGCAAGAAGTGCCTGAAATGCCGCCATCTCCAAACAATTTGCCCAGCGATGATGAGGGGATCGGCATGTCACAGACATTCTCCAACACCATCCAGATTAGTGACCTGAGTCCGTCAGACTGGCGAATTCTGTCGCCAAACGTAGAACTCATGGACATCATGGAGCATTTGAAGAAGGATCCGCCGAAAGAGTTCACCATCAGCTCGTCCGTGAAGAATCTGCTGTGCATCGACAGTGCCTATCTCAAGCATTCGGAGGACTTCACACTGCCACTGAAAATGTTCGAGCGACGGAGCGTCGTTGAGATGAACATCCTGAAGTTGCCGGAGAAGAAACTGCGCAGCAAGTGTTTGTTTGCACTGCCCAAAGAGTGGATTGCCGAACGGCGAGAAGCTGAGCGATCGTGTCCGGCAGTTCCTGGTGAAAGAAGGCTGTTTAAGCTGGACATGAGTCTTCAGAGCATTCCCACACCGCCGCCGACGCCCGATCCGGAAGAGTCTGAGGAGTTCAAGGGCTTCGATGAGTCAGAAATAATGGATATCACGCTATCAAATAGTAAAATCCTCTCATCGACACTCACCCAGGAGAAGAGCTCTCCTATAAGTCCACACAAACACCCCAGGATGTCTGCGGATTCGGGAATTCAGTCACCGTCACACACGATGGACATCATGGATGCAATTCTGGAGGAGAGTAGCTCGCAAATCTTCACAAATGCCAGTGATTCTGGATTTGGATCGCTGCTGAGGTCAATGGATGAGGGAGAAACCTCACAAAAGTCCGTGGCAAGTGACGATATTCTCCTGAATGACACTCAGGCGCCTGACGAGACAATAGAACTGTCTGACCATCAGAGGAATCTGCAGAAGATCGCATCGGAAGAGCATCGCCAGCGCGTAGAGGACATGAAGCAGATGACAGACAAAGTGAATCGCTGGCATGAGTATTTGAAGCCCATCCTGAGAGTGTCTCATGCACGAGGGCATTTTGATATTCACGCGTATGGAACGGAGATTCTCGATGCGGTGAATCCGAAGCGGAATGCTTCTCTGCCAGATGGACAGAGTTTGTCTCTGGAGAGTGTTATGGCCATGAAGGAGGGCCCGAAATTGCTGCCGAGATATTTCTTGTCAATGCTACAGCTGATAAACACCAAAAACATTAGTATTCAAGTGAAGAACGATGTCAACAAGGTGATTGATCTGCGGGATATTCACATAAAATTCCTCTCGGCCGAGAGGCATCACGAGGAGCTGCAACAGGGCCTGCAGATTGGCGACAAGAGGAAGCGATCCGCGTCCAATGAAGGCAAATCCGCGGAGGAATTGAAGAAGAACCGCAAATAGGAGGAAAACTATTAAAACGTGAGTGAACAGTCTCAATTTCTTTTAATACATAACATATGTACATACGATCTATGCTTAGAGTGACTAAATATTTACAAGAGTTTTACTGTTTTTTTTTTTCTAGAAATCATCAAATTGACCATCAATTCTCGTCAAGTGATGTCAGACAACATTTTAAATTTTAATCGATCACTTACTAATGAAAGTACAATTTTCGTAGTGTCTTTTTAGGTGTTTCAGAGGTTTCTTTGTACGCAAGTGAATGTAGTGACACTACACAGAAAAGTTAACCTTTTATTTTCAGCAGATAAAAAAAATGGTTGAGCAAATCATGATAATAATTGTTTAACAAAGAGTGTAATAGCAAATGATTAAGTGATTTGACTAGCAAATCTTTAGCAAACAAAGTGCAAATCGAGGTATTTTCTTAAAAGTTAGACAAATTTGTATTTAGTTACAAATTGCAAAATAAAGATCTTCATATATAGCATAAAATACCTCGTGAAGAGGCGTTCTTTGGGGGTGCGGAAGGGGTGTGCTTCACACGTGAGGCACCCAGTTGCTGCCGTCCTCGGGCAGAAGGTTGTTGGTCACGAGCAGAATGATGTCCACAATCCACCAGATGCCCAGGCCGCCCAGCGTCAGCAGCTTGCCCACCGCCGTGCCCGTCTGGCCCAGGCAGAAACGGTCCATGCCCAGGAAGCCGAGCAGGAGACTGTAGATCAGCGTGGTGACGAAGTAGTGATCTGTGTACTTCACGCACGGCACTCCATCGCGCATAAACGTCCGTTCGCCGTAGCACTCAATCTCCGGCAGCACAGTGCATCGCACGGACGTCTTCTCTACGTCCTCGAAGTACACGCCACCGAATTTGGAGCATCCGTAGGTGTTGTTGCCCCGCAGCTGGGGCGACTCGCAGTCGATGAAGTCGCTGGGCAGGAAGGAGCACTTCACGAGCGGCCCCAGCGGATGGTACGTGTTGTGGTTGTTGGAACTGGAATCCCTGTCCTTTGTGGTGCTCTGGGCGGCCTCAATCTCCCCAACACTGAACAGGATGGTCAGGAGGAGTGAGAAAAGGGAAGAAAAATACGCAATGTTTATCAACACAGCCATGACAGCCACTAAACTGACACCCATGGCTGACAACTGTCAACTGCGCGAATACGCGAGGCGGGAAGAGACGAATTCGAAAAGTATAATTTCCCCGCTTTGTCAATTATTTTTGGTCAATTTAATAGAATTGAAGAAACATTATTGAAATATGATACCTTTTTGGGGAGTCTTGAATTTCTCAGAAATTTAATACCCAAATAAATGCTAACCTGCCCCATTCGTGTGTGTGCACAAAGTAACCCCACAGGTGGTTTTTCTTGGAAGCGAAATATCTTAATGTAATTACATAAATCGTCTTATTCGACCCAACTCCATCCGGTGATATTTACATTTTGATGACAAAAAACACAGATTGATTGAATTTGAGAAGTCAATTTCACCCATACACTTCAGTGTGGGGAAATGCAAATGAAAAAGCCTCTCAATAAAAATTTAATGTATGCTAATTTCTGAAAATTCCCTCCCCACACAGATAAACTCTTATTGCAGTATTTAATGTAATTTCGTGCGCATCGTATGTAATGTTGACTTTAATGGGCTTTTAGGAGCTTGAATTTCAAATTCAGCAACTCTCTGTGATCCGTTGACCAAGAGAAGGTCACGGAATCCAGAAACTAAGCGTGAGGGATTGTTAAATCTGTTCTACTTTTATTTAGTTGGTATAGAGACAGATATATCATAGTCGATTGCACAATCTTCATTCGGAGTTCTAAACGTTGAAGAATATTTACTCAGCTTTGTTTATTCTTCAGCTTCAAATCGAGTTTTCTCGCCTTTAGACTTGACCACAAACCCAATGTTAATCCCAGCTGCAGCATTAAGCGCAGGCGAAACGTGAGCTTATCATCACAGTTAATCTTAGTTGCATTTTTAATGCACTAAATCTCATGCTTTTTATTACCTTCTGCAATTGCTTCTCCCTCTCTCTCGTGCACTAAAAGAGAAAAAAAAATGTCGCGAAACATCCCTTTTCAGTGTTGCCGCTTAGATGCGATAATTAATGTGGTCGTAAAAGGCAAATTGAGTCAATAACTTGCGAAATTGCTGGGGCATGTGATGCAATTGCGATGAGGAGATAATTCTGAGGAGGACTTAAAGCAATTTTTGCGATAATTTCTCAGTCCCTCGCCGCCGCTTCGTGGCGATGGGATTAATTTATTAGCATGTGAGCGTCGTGAAACACCGTGAGGACATGCCACAAAGGAGATGTGGAGTATTGTGGAGGAGTAGAAAATATATTTTTGTAGCACTATCGATTTATATGGCTGTTTTTCGTTGGGGGACGAGAGCGAACAATCCCTCCTGGCATGGCTGAAGTAAATAATGTACGCTCAGTGTGAGAGTTTTCCACACAATACATAATATGTGCTCCTCGTAGCTCCGCACCACATAGACAGCGTATCCTTTCGCTCTTGGAGTCACTGTCTCACTCTAGAATGACCTAGACCTGCTCCGAGCACATAGCGGGCGCACATTATGTCTCCCCTACATAATGTGAGCCTGGTCTAACCCAAAATATAACTATCGCACGAGAATTAATGCTCTCCGTGGGGGAAAAAGTCAGTAGATATGTATATTTCATAAATTGATATAATTGTGAATATTCTTTCGGCTCTCCTCTTTCAACCCCCAGCAGAGCTCACGAGTGCGTCATGGATATTGAAAAAAAGCGGGGCTTTGCGTCAAAATGTAATTCTAGGGGTGGATTTTCTCTCAAATTGACAGCCAATTTAGGAGTGTATTTTCGTCGGGGGAGAAATCTTCACTATAAGCCTCACATGTTTTAATATCCAGTTATGAGCTTTTAGAGACTCTCCACCAAAGAAATAGTCTCTAAAGATATGACTTTCTCGGCGTTTTCTCCATTAGTCCGAAATGTGCTTCTCTTCAGAATGAAAAGTAGTTAAAAAAAAATTTTACAAGAGTCCTTAAGAATCTCTGCTCTCTCAAATCATGTTTCTACTCGATCGCTCCGAAGCACTCCAAAGTGTTATTTCACATTCAGACCTTCTAAATTACCATTCCATTTTGGCAAAGTTCCGACCCATGAGAAGGCATCGTCAGTAAACAGGACTGCGAACAGGAGGATGAGTCCAATTTGAATTCGAATTTACTGCGAGAGGAAATGGCAAAGTGATTTTGTTGCACTGTTGCATAAAATTGAAATTGTCGGTGCGCAGAAAATGTTGTGCAAGCTGCGATGAAGAGGACAACCTTGGCTTGAGCACAAATGAATAGAGCATAGAGAGCTTTCGCCCTGCCACACTGCAAAAGCGTTAAGCGAACTTTGACATTTTCACCCTTATTCGCATGCTCCGAAAGTGCCTTTCGCTACCAATACTAGAGACACATAGCATCCACGATGAAAAATATAAAATGATGCATGAACTTTGGTATTTACTCGACTCTCTCTCTCTCGCTTTCGGCGACATTTTCCCCGATGATTGACATCAACGGTGTAATGAAATGGTCTCAATATCCTCTCTAAATAAATCCCTTTTCTCTGTTATGATTTAATCTGAAAATTGCTGATTTTCTTAAATGATATTTCGGTCCCTTTGCCGCCATGGCACAGCGTCAAGGGACAAAGTGTCCCATTATTCTAATGAAAATCCCTAATGAATGAATCCCATTTTCATTTCATTTTCACCCAAATTAAACGCTCTCTCTCTCACTGTGATTTATTAGTTTCATGAATTATTATAGGTGTTCGCTGTACCATCTACACCAACTGTTAATCCGCGATTTGTCGACGAAGAGGCATTTTTCACATTTTTTTCCACACTCGACAAAAGTCATGAATACTCAGTCGCAGTCTGTGACTCTCGGGGCGCTTTATTTTGAAATTCGACGTAAAGAGACACACTCAAATGATGGGGAAGAGTGAGATTTTCTGGCAAATTTACAATATTATAAATTTTCCTTCTAGTCAATTTGGCTTCATGATTTTTCGCACTACATCTTTGCGTATCTGCGCACAATATTTGCGTTTTTTTTCGCACAGGGTAACACATGGTGCCTCGCATAATGTGAGCCTGCAGAGCCATGATTAATATAAATGGTTCATATTTTGTCAGAATCGCATTCGTCCTGTTTCTTGTGCCTAAACGAAAATCCAATTTCCAATTTGGCAAAAAGCACCATTGTGAGAGCAGAACAGAAAGGGATAAAAAAAATAATTTTTTGCTGATTTATGTGCATATTTTTTTGAAAAATTAGGTTCGTGTGTATAGAATTTTTTAAAAGCGACAAAGTATTGAATATTTCATAATAAATTTTCAATTATAAGCTTCTTAGAAATTTGAATTCAAGAAAATTTTCTTTCCAACTTTTTTCAGTCCGGAATGATTTTACATTATTTACCGAAACATCATTGATAAATCTCATTCTTAAAATTTCGGAGAAATTGTTGAAATGGAATTTACGTGTTATTTTATTTTTAATTTTCATTGATAAGTTGTCTCAAAATGTGGATGAAAATGAATGCTTTTCCCATGAAAATAGCATCCAACACAAAGCCATTTATCGCCAAATTAACCCCTTGGTGTGCCTTTATGTACAGCAAAAGCTAATTAACTAGAACAACTCTGATATTTTCACTTTATATAAAAATAAGCATACAAACGTACTCATTTCAACCCTCGAGTGACGCTTCAGCATTTTTGTATATGAATTTTATTGCTGCGCTACGTCGAGGTTTTTCTCGGCAGTGCGAGTGAGACGGATTCCCGAAAAATGGAGCAATTTTCTAGGTAACACGGTGCTTTATTCTGCATATATCTTCAGTGGACCGCTTATATCTCAACTCCTGGCGGGACGCTTATGAAAGTGGCCCGATAGGAGCAGTCCTATATCCTGAATAAATATGGCTTTGGCATGTAGATTCCCTCCCAAATAAACTGAACATTCGCCCGCCCACTCGATACTTCTCTCTCTCTGCGACACGAGGAAAATTGTCGATAGAATATTCAGTTCTTTGTCATTGTTGAGATATTTGGCTCTTGTGCCACTGCGCCATCCAACGTACAGCAATTATTGCGAGGGCAGAGCAAACACGAAGGAATGTACATATGCGCGCTTGAACAAATATCAAGTACATCGTGAGTGTATTTTTGGAATAGTTCATCAAAGGGATGAATTCCCACAAGCACTCCAAGGGAGAGCAATAGATCATTTTGTGTACAAATTGTTCTCAATTTTGTGGGTGAATGAACTTAATTCAATTTAGATCTGTCATCGTCATCATCTCATTTTGCCGAATTGTGTAAATATTTTGAGAGGAAATTATTCTTCAGGAGGCACTCATGGCGAAATTACACGCTATAAGAGCAACAACATTAACTTTAAAACATTTATTTCACATGAGCACAATTATACATGTAAGTTATATGCATATTTTAAAATAACATCCCCCAAAGTATACACACAGTTTATTTTTGCCTTTCTCTCTTCCCGCACACCCAGAAAGAGAGAGAGAGATAAATCTGTACAGTATTCGCGATAACCATTTTCCAAAAATATTAATCATCAGCACAATATATCCCGGGGTGATTTCCCATGCAATGTCTTTTTCAATTATACCCTCATTATATGACAAAAGCACGACATGGCAAAAATTGCAGCCACTTTTAATTCTCCATCGCGCACATATTATTTCAGTAAATCTCTCTGTGGAAAATATGTCTCTGTCATAAATATAACCAAAATACATCTCGCAGTCTCATCTTTAATATGGAGCCTCATCAAGCCGAAACAATTGGAAATATGAGTGGGCGGAGGCTCAGAATGAATTTCATTAAATGTGACAAACAATAGGGAAATCCACCGAAGCACAGCTCAAATGGGGCCTTTTGAGAAAAGGGGTCCCTGGACTATAAAGGTCTTCACCTAATTGATTGTGTCCAAATTATTAATTTCCTCCCCGCATAAGCATTTTCGGCAATTACATCGATTACATCATCACAAGCAATTGTAACTTAATATGAGAGCATGAAGACCTCCCGGGAAAAGGGTGAATTGGGTCAGCGAAGCGAGTGGGAAAGGGAAGTTCTGAGAAAATTTCAATTTTCTTCCAGCTTCAATAGGGAAGCTCTTGAAATTCCTATTGAAAGTCACTCTAGCATAGAAAGGAACTCAAATATTGGTGTTTTTAATGCTTTTAAGAGATTGACCCTTCCATCTATTGTGCTCTGTTCATTCTTTTCGACTAAA